CACGCTGCTGTCAGTAACTAGGCGAGAATTGTACAGACAGTATTTTTAGGTGTTTTCTTCATTATCAGGAGTTTCCTTTCTAGGAGAATTTCGCTTGTGTTAAAACCAGTTAGCTAAATCTTGATTTAAGTGGATAGTGAAGCTGTTGTTTATGAATAAGAACTTCTCCCAGTGACCTCATTTGATATTTTACCGACTACCTTCTTGTTTTAAATTGTTTGTTTAAGGTATTCTTTACAGCTGGTCGCTAATTCTGTACGGAACAGAGAAGGATCCCCTATCAAAGAACCTACATGTTCCGACGATTTCTACAAAGGTTAAACCTGCAACATATTCAAGCCACACTTTGCCTGCTACAACAACACAGCCATCTTCAAAAACTGGTAGGCCAAACTTCTTGTCGTTTTCTATTCGATACTACAGTCAGGGGCACCCAACGGCAATTTTCGGGAAAATCCTAGGATTTTCGAACATCTACAAAATGGTATAATTACCCATTTTTAACGGATTTTGACCCTAAAAAAGGCCACCTAGAATTTTCGGGGGCCTTTTCCTGGCTGTAATTTTCGAGAAGATAAGTTTTTATCCCTATAATTTTCGGATCACTAAGACTTTCAGCTAGGAAATCCGAACAGATGAAAAGTTTTTAGGGGATAAAAATATGCCTATATCTACCGTTTGAATACTAAAATACGTTCAACAATGCTATGTTAAGTGGTTTTGACTTATATCCTCGTTGGGTGCCCCTGTACGGTAAGGTCAAGGGAAAAAAATGTTTTAAAACACAGTCAATTACCATTTTTTTAAACTTAGCCTTAGCCCGCGAATAGCAGACGCATTGCCGGTCGTCGCTTCTCTTTTCGGAGGGAGAGAAGCGACGACCGGAAATGCGTCTGCTGTTCGCAGGCTATAGACTCCTTAGCAGCGGCAACTAAGTTATGGGTACGCAGAGGATATTTGCTTAGCACTAAAGAAGCGGCATTACCTTCTTAAATGTGTAGCAAAGCCCAAAAGGGTTCCATTCAAGTAAAAGATTCCATGTTGTCCTGCGATTGTTCAGTGAAAGACAGCAATTAACGTCAGAGTGTGGTGATCGGCCTGTGTCCGATGTTCTTACCCTATTTTGACGCCATTTTCTCGGATCTGTGACTAAACGAACACATTGCATTTTTTTTTCTTGCTTCATACAATGAACAGAAAAGGGGAGCTCTATTTGTTGCAGTTGGACGACGGATGTTTTGAAGTCGCCAAGACTATATCTCGTGGCGGCCTCCGCTTGCTCAATTCAGTAAAAATAATGAGTAATGCCCGGGGGTACTTTAGGGGGGATGGGTGGGGATGTGCCGCTTGGACCCTAAAACCCTTGACCTATAGCAGAGCTAATTCAGCTGAATTTTGCTATCCTATACTAGAGTAAACTCCCAAATCCCCCTATCCTAGAGTAGCTGTTTTCCAGAAACTACTGAGGTCACTAGCACAGTCTAGTCAAAACAAAACCTTATACCACAATCCCTAGTCTAGATATATAAAATCTTCAACCAACTGATCAGTCTTGAAAAATGATACCCTATTCTAGACCCAAACGCTCTGATTTATATACCCTATCCTAGAGTAAACTGCTTGAAAACCATACCCTTCACAGCGGCACATACCTATATAGCCCATATATGGCAGTACCCCCCGGGGAGTAACGCAAACATCTTGTAAACTGTACGCTACTTTCGAGAAAGCAGGGAATACAATTTTTCTGTGAAGTCATTCGCGTGTATTTACTCTGACAGATCATGAGTAACGACCAATCATTTCGCGCGTAGTATTCAGAAAAAATTCAGTGGAGCAAATGGGTTTCTTTACAGTTTGGAGACTGTGTTGTCATGAACGCGCACCTTATGGTGTGTGCAAATCAACTTTTCCACATTACTACTGTCGTTGAATCGGTCGCTTTGCGTCTCAAGGTGACGTTGTTATCCTGAATGTCTTTTGGACAGTTCCTCGCAATAGTTGAGTCCGCCGCTATGAAAGTGATTCATCTTGTTTAACGATACCCTTGTTTTGTGTGATTTTTTCCGTAGACGATCTTAAGATGATTCTTATCATTACTGGTGGTTCCGCCTCGGGAGTTGTTGTTGTTGTGTTTGTGATTTGCTGCGCTCGTGCAATTTTAAAAGTGAAAAGAGAAAAAAGGCGGAAGAAGAAGACAGAAGTAGACATAAAGCTAGTAACTATGCAGGAGGAGATACTAATTTATTAGCAGAAGCAAGGAGCAACGGGCGTAAAGAAGCTGGACCATCCTGGACTTGTACCTACATTGCTTTAGCCCATGTCCACATAAATCCGTGTACAAGCGTTTTTGTCCGCGGCTTCCACTATTCTTCCGTTTACCTGCTTGTTCACTCTGCAGATCGTTTACGACAAAAACCCGTTTGTGTTAATCGCCACATCATTCTCGTGAAGACACGGATCGTAAAGATATACGTTTTTTGCGTTTAGAAACATTAAGGGACTCTTGTACACTAGTCAGATGGCATCAGAGTGTTGTTTAAAATTATACAGAAAAGTACCATAAAATAGTGAAGATCTAAATTTACCTTATTGCTGCTAATTTTCGCGGGATCTAAGAGCCTGTTTGAAAGAAGGGAGGGTAGCCTGTGCGAGAGTTACCCTTGCAAGCGGGTTAAAGCTGATAGCTTGGGTTAGAAGCGAATGAGCCTGAGTGTCTTCTGTTTAAGATCAAAGGTAATTGGAGACACTATAAATAGATAGATTGTGATGTGATAAGTTTCTCTTGTCACCACCAAGTGTTAAAGCAAGATTGGGTGATAGAAATTCAGCTCTTAGCCATAAGGTGACTCTCTTCAGGCCTGGTTGGTTATCGCCAGATTTCTATGCAAACAGTCTGGGCCTTTTCGAGGAATGTTTTCGAAAATTCGGCTATTATTAGTATTATTTTTGTTGTTGTTGTTGTTGTTATTATTATATTGAGAAAAATAAAATTTAATTTTAAAAATACGATAGACAACACATAATAAATGAAAGGATGTAATTCACTTTTCAAAAGCTATTTACAATCGTGGAAGAAATCAAAAATTATGATTGGCTTATAGTGCTCTCTAAAATACTGCTTAACTCAACTTTTCTTATAAATGATCCTGAAGATGTTATGACCACTTGATTTCTTGATTTTTTCAGCCAAGATGATCCATAGTATTGACCAAATTCCATAATGATGTTTCCCACAAATAACAGTGTTTTAAAGTTAAATAATTCTGTTACATTGTTCGTTAATTTTTTTTTTTTGAAAAAATTGTACGGAGATAGGAACATCTTGCAGATCTTTTGCTTCAAAATGACGGCAGCCTTGCTCGTTTAAGGAGAGGCTTCATAGAACTCTGTTATTAATTCGTGGGAACACCAGCTAAAGCTAATCACGATTTTTTTTAGTCTCCCGATCCCACCGCCCCGAATGCCTCACTTTAGATGTTACAGTTGGTGGCGTTTGTCTATCCCCACCTTTGTCGAATTCGACACTTTAGACACGGGAAGGAAACTGGATCGAGTTAACCCTTGCAAAGACGTCTGGGACTGTTACCGGGGTAAGGGAAAAATTGACCAATAGCTGACCGGTGCGTCCCCAGTAGCTATCCCAGAAACAATTGCGGGACATATTTCGGCTCCAGTTCTCTTCTCGTTTCTAAAGCGGCGAATGCAGGATTGTAAACTGCCTGTCTTCCCACCCGGCAGAAGCCAACAGCAAGTATCGAGAACGATTTTTAAGACCAGAGAGTTCGTTGGTATGTTAGATCGCGAAAGTCATGGAGGGTTTCACATTATCCAGAATTCTCCCCTCAATTCTTGACCACATGGATAGTAAACAGTTTGCAGCGTCTTCACAAGTGTTTCGGATAAAATATTATTTATATTTTTTCTCGCCGCTTCCCAACCCGTTCCCCCTCCTCCTAGGTAGATTTGATTCTCTTGAAACCCAGCAGCCCAGGTAGTCTAGCGGAAGGATGGACGATTAGAGAAATTCCCTGATAGCTTCTGTGTTGAGACGTATTCCCTGTCCAAAGCACTCATCTCTTTCAATAAGCTTTTTTAAAGTAAAGGAATGACCTATTTGTCATTGCGTTCGACGTAAGGCGAACGTAACGTAAACTTAACCAGCGAGAAGCATTTAGCTGAAAGATACTCGATTTTTGATTGGATCAAGTCCCGGAAACGGAGGCACGTCATAGATCGCGGACTTCTCGTCGCCAGAGCCCGTCGTTTCTTTGGAACACAAGCGCTTTGGAGGAAAAAAAAAACATTTTTTGAAATGCTAACGCTTATTTCGGATAAATTTACAGTTGAAATGACAATAGAAATCAAGGGCAAGGCTAGTCAACGGGATTTATCGATGACTGCGTTTGTAAAAGTCCATGCAGGCTTTTACCGCAGAGCGGCAGAAAAAAATAGGCGCTTCTGACCTCAGTTAAGGTGGCTTTGTTATTAAAAAAAGGTCCATTGACCTATGATAACATGATGGCTACGGAACTTTATGAATAACTACAGCTATCATTCGGCAATAACACGGAACAACCCGATCTTACTGATGGTAAAATTTTTGCAAAATTAGTGCTTAAGTGGACCCTACATTTCAAACAAAATCGCGTCTACTTCTTTTAATTTTGCATTGATATTTTAAAATGATTTATAGATATTAAGTATGCCAAATCAATTTCAGAGAAATAAAACGGCTACGACCCCGCTCTGTTTGGGTCCTATCGGTGTCGTCTGTATGTCTTGCAAAGTTTATTTTTACGTACTAATTTGGACAGCTTTGCAAATTTATGTGCACTTGATATTACGAAGAAGTCTGATGGGCTTGAAAACCATTGCACTTAAAATAACTGTTTAGTACCTGTAAACGAATGTCACCCTTGCTTTCGTGGGGTCAGGTAACTTTTACCACCTGCTATAAAAAAAGGCTGAGTTTATAGTTGCATTTTCAGAAATCAAAAATGAATTTTGACCGTATTTTAGACCTCAGAGGTCTGGTCTCCTTCTTCAACATTGCTATATCGTTTTTCTTCTTTTCTACAATACGGATAACGACCTCAACTTGCTTAAATCGACGAGATCCAGTCCAGAAGAAGGATCTAGCACTGGAGAAAGTGCTCAACAAACTGAACAAGCAACACCTGTCGCAGCAGGAAGCCCTCATTTTAAACGAGGCCGCGGAGTTTGGAATTCAACGTTACAGTGGTGGCATTAAGATTATAAAACTTAGAAGAATTCTAGACTACGCGAAAAATACCCGGTCGCCTTCTTTAGTGCTTTACAAGCTACATGTTTTTGTATCAGATTGAACAGGGACCTTTGAAGGATAGATATCTTAGCGTCTACGTCCGTAAAAGCCGCACTGGTGGCATGAAGTTTCACCTTCGATCACAGGATGGAAAAAACAAGCGATCTCTGCGTCATCGAAATGGAAATACAGCTCAGTGCGATCAGCTTAGTAAAGGTGCGAACTGCTCTAAGTGCGGATTTCATGGAATTTGCCTTCAAGGTACCGCTAGGATTTCATCTTGGCTTCAATACGCCTTGAAGACTCAAAGAGAACTTCAAATCGACATCCCTGTTAATCGTGTGCAATTTCTGGGGGCTCATAATGCTTTTAATAATAGAGCAAGCGGTTATGGTGATTTGGACGATTGCCAATGGCCGGTAAAAGATGACCAAGTCTGCATCTCAGTAGCCAATCAGGAATTCAGCTTTACTGACCAGCTCAACATGGGTGTGCGCCATCTTGAAATTGACCTGTGGAATTGTTTTGGTGAGATTCGTATGAGCCATGGCAACGGGGATTTTAAAATAGGCTGCTCGCCATGGGACAAGGAGTTAACAGAGGGAATGAGTGAAATATCGGAATGGACTCAGAAGCCAAGGAACAGAAATGAAATAATTCAAATTTACTTCGATGATCACACAAACCCCCACGATAAATCGACAATAAACAAGTTAATTAGAGACTATTTTGGAAATAAGGTGCTGACACCAAGTGATTTGAAAGTTAAATTTTCAGGAAGATGGCCGAGCATGCGAGAAATGCGGCGCTTAAAGAAAACGGTGATTTTTATTGATCCAGATGATCGTTCAGGACAATATGTTCACAGCCAATTTTGGACCCAAGGCTATAATGTCAAAGGCTTCTTATCACAGCTTAACGACTGCTCAGCAGCTGGAAAAAGTGACGAGATCATTAGAATTTATAGCGATAGCACTAACTACGGACCATTTTGGAACGGACCAAAGAAGGCTGGAACAATTTTGGATTTTAAGAAGTATTTATTGTGTGGAGTTGCTATTCCAAGCGCTGATCAAATCAATGCAAAACTCATGAAAACAGCTGTATTTACCTGGGCTGAGGGTGAACCGAGGCAACCAATCACTTACCCTCTTGCGTCATTCTTTCGGCTGAGGAGAGATGGCACGTGACCAGCTGCGCTGAAAAGCATTATTTTGCGTGCGTTTTAAAAGTGGACAAGACCCGATTGAACATCAGCTCAGATTTGGACAAATATTCTAAACCATCTTGTCCAGAAAATATGGAATTCTGTGTTCTTCACAATGGTTATGAACATCAGCGGCTTAAGCAGGCAGCTAAAGGAAAGACAGTTTGGCTGAATATTGCACCTTTCCTTCCCCTCATAAAACAAAAGAGGTTGGAAAGGACATAAGTTTTCAACTTTTGGGGATAATCAAAACATAACGGCCAGCGTGAATTTTAACCCGGCGTGTCGCGAACGTCGCGCGCGCACGTTTATGTTCGCTTCTTCTCGTTTCTCGTTTCGCTTTGACCTGCTCCGAGAATGGGCTCTAAAACTCGAATATCAGCATTTCTAGTGCTAGCATCAAACTACGGAAGATTGATAATTTGTAATTTTTATATTGACACCTATTATTGTAGGAAAAGGGTATGGGTTTAACTTGAATTTTTACCAGCACTGATGAATTGCTCGTAGCAACGGTAAGCTGGGTAGGTGTGCCAATTGTCCTTGGACAAAGCCATTACAAAAAACAAACAAACGAAAAATATAAATCAGGAAAACAATGTTTAGAATAGGTTTACTTTATTTTTGTTATTAATTTAGATCTGTAATTTGGGTTGTTTGGTAATGGTAGCCTGTTCCAGTCTCCAAAATAGTAATGCGCAGAGAGATCGTGAAAGCTGATGAGAAAATTGCACGGAGGCTGCGAAGAGAGAAGGCTTTTCCACTGCCGCCCTCTTCCCCAGATCACGCCCGCCCTATTTCCCCTTGACCTTATTTTCTCCACGTTCCTACTATCTAAGAGCGTGGCACAGCCAGGCCATGCATACCCAGTCGTGGTTCCAGAAGTTGTTTTTCTCGCGTGGGGCGGAATGCTTAGGTGTCGGCTGCACGTAGACACATGTTCGGTTCTTATACCGCTTGCTTTTGGATTAGATTTGCTAACTTATTTATTGCTCAAAGCAGTAGGATATTCCCCTTCATTGACTGGCTTTGACTAAGAAGCTACGTTCATTGAATGGGTTGGTTGCCACCCGCCTTTGAGGTTTTTATATTTTTTTCCAAGACTATAAAAAATCAGCATCTGACGTTTTCACGGTAGCTGTTTGTTTATCCCTCGCGCGCATCTTGAGATAAGTTTCTATGGTTACGAGATATGACGTCATAAGTAGCAGGTGGTCAAGCTATTTTTGAGTGAAAATGCATGTTTTTTCAACTTCTTTCAACAAAAAGTAAAGCTTGTGGATGAAATGATGCAAAGTGCTTTTTCATGTGTTACTTTACATGTTAAGCCCAAAAAATTACCATTTCTCGCGGTTTTCCCCTGATTTCTAATTCTTAGTAAAATCCAAGATGGCGACCATTGTGAGTGACATCACAGGCCTCCAGCAGCGCCACCATCCATAAAATATACCTCATCTTGTTGAGAAGATCAAAGGCTTTCCGCTGAAGGTAAAATCGTTTCGAAATACTGCAACATAACTCTGGGGAGGGGTTCCATCAACCCCCCCCCCGTCTTGTACCACGGTGGAGGTATGAATTTGCGTGTAAGTCCGAGGGTTAAATTAACCAATATGAAATTCCGTGTCGCTGTACGATGATCTACGATGGAGTCGATAGCAACCAAAATTTACTTTTCGTCGGTCGAGGTCTGGGCACAATTTGGGACATATCAGTTCAGTTACATAACGTACATTAAAAATTTTGCGCCATGATGTTTTCGAACTTGAACAGACGTTTTCCTTGAAAAGAATCAGGACTTTTCAGGCAGTCATATTTGCAAGGGAGCGTTAATTTATCAATAGATTGCCTTTTTTTGTTCTTCTTCTTACAAATTATACAACACTTTTTTGAATCGTGTGGTTTTCTAGCCTCCCATGCAGACGTTCTTACGGGTTCGTCACGCAATCATTCCTGGAGAGGAATGCCTTTTTTGCGTGACGAACCCGAAGCGAGTTTTTGCGAACTTAATTCTACAGGGAACAAGATCGTCGGCTAAATCAAAGCAGAAAATGGACCAGTCTTTACAGTGAGGTACGATATTTATCTGTAGCGAAGCATTATAACAGATTAAAGCTAACAAGAAACTCATATATATACTGTACAATGTACCTGGTAAGCAAAGATTTCCATGCAGCCATATTCAGCTTATATTTTATGCATTTAAGCTTAGAAAAAAAGCACTTTATTTGAGTGTCAATGTCTTTAGCACGAAACTACTAATTGGGGACACTATTTTAACGTCTCCTGTCCTACGGGAGACGGGACCGCCATTTGACGTGGTCATCCGAGCCGTGCGAAGGTCTAGCCATTTGCAGTGCAAAAGGAGTACCTTCATTTCTCAGTTATTTTAAGACCCTGAGTGTTGGTCCAGTCCCGAGAATTGAACCCGCGACTTCCCACTCTGTAGTCAAGTGCTCTACCGACTGAGCTAATCCTGCTAATCGTGCTGCTTACATGTAAGCTTAAGTCTTCTGTTTTGATTCCCCTCACATAAGCTATTTGTGTGAAATAGTATGAAATGGCTGCTGCAAGCCTTATATATGAATGGGGCCGTACAGAAATCTTAATTAACAGCTTAATTAACTCAGCTTAAGCTTATGTTTTATTCATATCTTTATTCTTATGCCTCTGTTAAGGCCATCCTCACCAACGCATAATCTATACCTGCCAACTTTTTCTGAGATGTAGGCGTGAGATTTTTATCCTGGGAGTGCTGGGATTTTTGAAAACGACACGATCATGTCCGAAGATTTCCGAAGAAGTCCGAAGTCTTCCGAAGACGTCCGAAGTCTTGCGAAGGCGAAGTTATCGAGAAAACGCTTATCCACAAAATCAGAGATCGCGAGGAAGGTATTGTCATTTATTCATTTTACACATGGTTTTCGTTCGTTACATGGGTCTGAGTTAACATATTTTTGGAAATTGTGTCCAGCAAGACGACAACAACTCACATTTTTCAATCAGGCGTGAGAAATTGGTCCGCAGGCGTGAGCGGGCGTGAGATCGAAGTTTTCAACCCGCAGGCGTGAGACTCACGCCTAAGGCGTGAGAGTTGGCAGGTATACATAATCTCTTATGCTATGCAGATGCGTCTCTGTTGAGGACCATGCTATGCTTATGCTTGCATCGCTAAAACTGCCCTTTCACGAGTATCATATGAATTTGCATTCACTTTATTTACTGCGAATTGTTCTATAGTGTGCTTGATTACACTGTAGAGTCACTGTAGTTCTTTAAGAGAGAGCATCACACTCAATACAGTTGACTCTCTCTTAACGGACACCTCTATAAGACGGACACCTCTGTAAAATGGACACCTAGAGTTGGTCCCTGCCTTTCTTTCCTCCCTTTATTTGACTCTCTGTAAGACGGACATCTCTCTAAGATGGACAGCTAGTGCCTGTCCCAAAGGTGTCCATCTTAGAGAGAGTTGACTGTAAAGCCTTATTAAATCAGTTGTATTCAGGTTCTTTTTTGACTGTTTAAACAGGGGTCTTTTTTGCATGAGCATGTGCGACCGCTGAACAAGCGATGTGCACGAAGGCCCACCACAGGGTCTGCCTTCATCAAAATGGTGCATCTCAAAGCTATCATCGCGATTATTTTTGCTTTTTGGTCTTGGCAAATGTGCTCGTGATGTAACAAAATGTGTAGTTTGCAAAAAACTCTAACATGGTGTTAACAAAAGTGAAGTAGACCGGCTTTAACATATTACGAGCTGCTATCAAATTTCATCTCCTGACTTTAGCTGGACAACAGAGCACGTACATGTAGTACTTGTAGGATTGCGCTGATCTTGAAGTCTAAACAAAGTG